CCAGCTTTACCCGCAACTCCATGTACCAGCCCCAAGCCCAGCCCCAGTCCTAGCTTTACTCCAACTCCATGGCCCAGCCCTGGCCCCGGCCCTAGCTTTAGCTCGAACTCCATGTCCCTGTCCCAGGCCCAGGCCTAGGTCCGTCCGCAAGTTTACCCCCAAGTCCATATCCGAGGCTCAGGCCCTTAATCCAGCTGGAAGCTTTCCCTGTTGATTTCACAGCCCGGGGTTACTGAAATAGTCCTTTATTGAGCTGGATTTAGATACCTGGTTTTAACAACCTGGCCAAACTCAGCCAAACTTATTAACCTGTTTGCATTCATCACCTTATTTTATCCTCATGGTATGATGAGCTTGACATTATCCATCTGGCCTTATTAACCTGCTTGCCCTACTCGCCCAGTCTTCATGACTTTGCCTAAAATCCTGGCCTTATGGGACTGGCCATAACTTCCTACCATTATCCACGTGCTCTTACTCACCTGGTTGTAATTCAGTGGCCTCAATCGCTAGGCCCAAGCCCAGCCCCAGCCCTAGATTTAGCCACAACTCCATGTTCCAGGCCTAGGCCTGTGCCCACTCCCAGTATTGGGCCCAACCCCAGCCATAACCCCAGCTTTACTCCAAACTGCATGTCACAGCCCCAGGCCCAGTGTCAGGCCCAGCCCCAGCCCTAGCCCTAGCTTTACCCCCAAATCCATATCCCAGGCCTAGCCCCAACCCCAGCTTTACCTCCATCCCCAGCTTACCCTCATCTCCATGGCCCAGTCCCACACCCATTCCCAGCCCCAGCCCCAGCTCCAGCCACAGCTTTACCTCCAAGTCCATGTCCAAGCCCCAGCCCCAGACCCAGGACCAAGCCCAGTCGCAGTTTTACCCCCTATTCCATGTCCTGGGCCCAGGCCCTTAATCCTACTGGGTGTTTTCTCTGTTGATTCCACAGCCTGGGGTTACTGAAATAGTCCTTTATTGAGCTGGATTTAGATACCTGGTTTTAACAACCTGGCCAAACTCGGCCAACTTAATTACCCTGTTTGCATTCATCACTTTATTTTATCCTCATGGTATGATGAACTTGACATTATTCATCTGGCCTTATTAACCTCCTTGCCCTACTCACCCAGTCTTCATGATTTTGCCTAACATTCCTGGCCTTACCGGACTGGCCATAACTTCCTGCCATTGTCCACGTGTTCTTACTCACCTGGATGTAATTTGCTGGCCTTAATCTCCAGGCCCAGCCCCAGCCCCAGCCCACCCCCATCTTTACCACAAACTCCATGTCCCAGCCCCAGAGGCAGCCTTAGCTTTACCTGCAAATCCATGGCCCAGGCCCAGGCCGGGGCCCTGGCCCAGCTCCAGGCCTAGCTTTACCCCCAACTCCATGTCCAAGTCCCAGGCCCAGGCCTGGGCCTGGCCCCACCCCATCACAAGCTTTACCCCCAATTCCATGGTCCAGGTCCAGGCCCAGGCCTAGGCCAATGTAAAGCAATAGCTCCAGATTTACCCCCAACTCTAGGTCCTGGTCCCAGCCCCAGCCCCAGCCCCAGCCCTGGCTTTAACCCAAGCTCCAAGACCCAGGACCAGGCCCATGCCCAGGCCCAGCCCTAGCCCCAGCCCCAGTCCCATCCCCAGCTTTACCCAAACTCCATGTCGCAGTCTCAGGCCCAGGGCCATTCCCATCCTCAGCTTTACCCCCAACTCCATGTCCAAGGCCAAGGCCCAGGCTCAGGCCAAGCCACAGCCCCAGATTTACCCCATCTCCATACCCCAGGCATAGCCCAATCCCCAGCTTTACCCCCAACTCCATTGCCAAGGGCCAGCCCGATTTACCCCCGGCTCCATTTCCCAGTCCGAGCCCCATCCCCAGCCGCAGCCACAGCTTTACCCACGACTCCCTGCCCCAGCCCCAGCCCCACCCCCAGGCCCAGGCCCAGGCCTAGTGCTAGCTTTACCTTCATCTCCACATCCCAGGATCTGGCTGTTAATCCTACCAGGTGGTTTCTCTGTTGGTTTCACAGCCTGGGGTTACTGAAATAGTCCCTTACTGAGCTGGATTTAGATACCTGGTTTTAACTACCTGTCTAAAGTCAGCCAACCTTTTTAACCTGTTGGCATTCATCACCTTATTTTATCTTCATGGTACGACGAACTTGATATTACCCATCTGGCCTTATTAACCTATTGCCCTACTTGCCCAGTCTTCATGACTTTGACTAAAAATCCTGGCCTTGCCGGACTGGCCATAACTCCCTGCCATTGTCTACATGTTCTTACTCACCTGGATATAATTGACTGGCCTCAATCTCCAGGCCCAGGCCCAGTTCCAGCCCTAGTTTTACCCGCAACTCCATGGCTCAGGCCCATCCCCATCCCCAGCCCCATCCCCAGCCCCAGCCCCGGCTCTAGCTTTAGCTCGAATTCCATGTCCCTGTCCCAGGCCCAGGCCTAGGCCCATCCCCAGGTTTATCCCCAACTCCATGTCCGAGGCTCAGGCCCTTAATCTGGCTGGATGGTTTCTCTGTTGATTTTATAGCCTGGGGTTACTGAAAGTCTTTATTGAGCTAGATTTAGATACCTGGCTTTAACAACCTGGCCAAACTCAGCCAAACTTATTAACCTGTTTGCATTCATCACCTTATTTTATCATCAAGGTATGACAAACTTGACATTATCCTTCTGGCCTTATTAACCTCCCTGCCCTACTCACCTAGTCTTCATGATTTTGCCTAAAATTCCTGGCCTCACCAGATTGGCCAGAACTTCCTGCCATTGTCCATGTGTTCTTACTCACCTGGATATAATTTGCTGGCCTCAATCTCCAGGCCCAGCCCCAGCCCCATCCCCATCCCCATCCCCATCTTTACCACAAACTTCATGTCCCAGCCCCAGATGCAGCCTTAGCTTTACCTGCAAATCCATGGCCCAGGCCCAGGCCCAGGCCCAGCTCCAGGCCTAACTTTACCCCCAACTCCATGTCCAAGGTCTGGGCCCAGCCCCACCCCATCACAAGATTTACCCCCAATTCCATGGTCCAGGCCCAGGCCTAGGCTAAGGCAAAGCAATAGCCCCAGATTTACCCCCACCTCCATATCCCAGGCGTAGCCTGATCACCAGCTTTACCGCGATCCCGAGCTTTACCACAAAATCCATTGCCCAGGCCCAGGCCCAGGCCAAGGCCCAGCCCCAGCTTTACCCCCAGCTCTCTGTCCCAGTCCCAGCCATAGCTTTACCCGCAACTCTGTGTAGCAGCCCCAGCCCCGGCCCTGGCCCGAGCCCTAGCCCTAGCTTTACCCTCATCTCCATGTTCCAGGCCCAGGCCGTTAATCCTACTGGGTGGTTTCTCTGTTGATTTCACAGCCTGGGGTTAATAAAATAGTCCCTTACTGAGCTGAATTTAGATACCCGGTTTCAACTACCTGGCCAAAGTCAGCCAACCTTTTTAACCTGTTGGCATTCATCACCTTATTTAATCCTCATGGTATGATGAACTGGACATTGCCCATCTGGCCTTATTAACCTATTTGCCCTACTTGCCCAGTCTCATGACTTTGCCTAAAATCCTGGCCTTACCGGACTGGCCATAACTTCCTGCCATTGTCCATGTGTTCTTACTAACCTGGATATAATGTGCTGGCCTCAATCTCCAGGCCCAGGCCCAGCCCAATCTTTACCCCAACCTCCATGTCCCAGCCCCAGCCCCAGGCCCAGCCCTAGCTTTAGCCCCAACTCTATGTCCCAGTCCCAGGCCCAGCCCAAAACCCAGGCCCAGCCCCAGCCCCAGATTTACCCCCAACTCCATGTCCCAGGCCCAGGCCCCGGCCAGAATCCAGGCCCAGCCCCATCCCTAGCTTTAACCCCAACTCCATGTTGGAGGTCCAGGCCCAGGACAAAACCCTGGCTCAGCCCCAGACCTAGCCTAATCCCACCTTCATGGTCCAGACCCAGGCCCAAACCTAGGCCCAGCCCCAGATTTACCCCCAACTCCATGTCCTAGGCCCAGGACCAGGCCAAGGCCAAGGCCCAGGCCTAGCCCTAGCTTTGTCCCAACTTTATGTCCCAGGCCCAGGCCAAGCTTTACCCCAAAATCCATGTCCCAGACCCGGGCCCAGCCCCAGCCCCAAGTCTACCCGCAACTCCACGTCCCAGATCCAGGCCCAGACCCAGGGCAAGGCTAAGGCCCTGCCTCAGCCCTAGCTCTATCCCCAACTCCATGGCCCAGGCCCAGGCCCAGGCCCAACCCCAGCCCTAGCCCTAGCTTTACCCCTAACTCCATGTCACAGGCCTGGACCAAGGCCCACGCCCAGCCCCAGCCCCAGTCATAGCTTTACTCCCAACTCCATGGCCAAGGACCAGGCCCAGTCCAAGCCCTAGCTCCAGCTCTAGCTTTACCCCCAACCCCATTTCCCAGTTCCAGGCCCAGGCCTACCCCCAGGCCCATCCTCAGCTTTACCCCTAACTCCATGTCCCAGGCCTAGGCACAGCACCATCCCCAGTTTTACCCCCAACTCCATGTCCCATCCCCATTCCCATCCCCATCCCTGTCCCTATCCCCATCCCCATCCCCATCCCATCTTTACCACCAACTCCATGGTCCAGGCCCGGGCCCAGCCCATCTCAGCTTTATCCCCAATTCCATGGCCCAGCCCCATTCCCATCCCCATCCCCATCCCTATCCCCATCCCCATCCCCATCCCATCTTTACCACCAACTCCATGGTCCAGGCCTGGGCCCAGCCCATCTCAGCTTTATCCCCAACTCCATGGCCCAGCCCCAACTCCAGCCCCATTACCCAATGATATCTTGGGTCACCATTTGGCTGGCTTAGAGAATTGCCTTTAATCTGACTGGGTGTTTCCCTCATTGATTTCCTGGCCTGGGAATACTCTTCTATTCTGCTGGATTTAAACACCTGGTTTTAACAACCTGACTGCACTCTGCAGAACTTACTAAGCTCATTGGCTTTATTATTTTATCTTATCTTATCCTCATGGTATTATGAACCTGGCATTATCTGTCTTTATTGATGTCCTGGCTATACTCACCAAGTCTTAATTTCCTGGCCTAAAAGTCCTTCCCTTACCCACCTGACCATTACTTTCCCCTCACCATTGTCCACCTGTTCTTACTCACCTGGCTTTAACTTGCTGGCCTCAATCTCTGGTCAAGGCCTACCTTAGCTGATCTTGTCCATGAGGCCCTATTCAGCTGCATAACTGACTCCTTGGCTTTATGCAGCACATTTTACATCCCTGGCCAGACCCCATTATCCTTCCCCACCTAGTCTAACCCTATGGGACTTGACCTCACGGCCCTAGCTACTTGGGATTAGCCACCTTGTAGTCCCACCTAGCCTAACCCTGTGGGACTTAACCTCATGGCCCTAACAACTTGGATTAGCCACCTTGTTTTCCCACCTAGTCTTACCAAGCATCTGTGACCCATATGGGCTCTACACTTGGTTAACACAACTGTCCTTAGCCTTTTGGTTTTACCTACCAGGACTAAAAACATTGGATTTACTTCCCTAGTTTTTCACCTCTGGTCTTATCATCCCCTGTGCTTTTATTCCCTAGCTTTACCCCCCAGCTACATGCCCTCATCCCAGACACCTTGCATTACCCATGTAGCCTTAACCTCATGGCCTGACCAACATAGCTTACAATCTAGCATCCCCACCTTGCCTTCAGCTTTTGGTTTTACTCATATGGACTTAACCTCCTGGCCTAATCTGCCTAGCTTTAACCTCTAAGTATTGACCAAGTGGAGTTAGCCACCTAGCTCTATTCAGGGAAACCTTAACTTACTGACTTTAGCCACCCAGACTTTTCAATTGCTTGGCTTCCTGACTAGTCTTAAACTCATGGATCTGTTAACTTAGATTTCCCTACGTGCCTTATGAACCTCCTGGCCTTACTATCCAGTATGAATCTCCTGGCCTTATGCACCTAGTGCTGTGATTTCCAGTGGGAGCCACCATGCCCTGCCTGAACACCTGGTTTTAACAACCT